ATTTTACACTCTTACACTTTTACACTATAAGAAGAGTACTGATCAAACCAGCATGAAATATGTTCATAATGTATATTAAAAAGGGTGCAGTTTTTAAGGGCAATGCAGTATGTTTCTACTAATGCTTTAGAATGTTTCTTTCCTCAGGATCAGTTGCATTGACATATTTAAAACCAAATGTTTTCCATCTAACAAGACATCTATACCAGCAAAGGCAAACCCAACTGTCTGTGAGATAAAGGACATATTTCTTATCAGATGAGTAAGATACCTGTTTTACAAAATCTTGTTTCATTATCCAGGACACTGTAATTATGAAGCAGTTACAAAGGTCTAAATTCAAAACACTTCTCAACTTGTCTATGTAATCCCAGTGTAAAAGAAAGTACCAGTTTAAGAGCATTGCTGTAGCTTTGTCTAACAGTTTTGAGTTGTATTTAGCCACTGCTTTTCGATTGTTTATTGTTTTGCTATGACTTTCTTTTCATATTTTGCTGTGCCTGCATTTGTGAATGCCAGCATTTGAAGGTAACTGCTGTCATACATTTGTGAGTAAAATCAATCTGCAGTTTTCTGTTGATAGTGATGGAGGCTTCTTACCAGATCAGACTCAAGTGCTGTAGTGTCAGTTCTTAGTGTTTCGCTGCTCCTGGGACTCTGTGTTACCCCAGGTTCCTGTGAGAGGTTCAGGAGGTCCATGTGTCACTATTCCCCTTCCTGGCTATGCAAGTGTGAGGGAAGAGTGAACGTGGGTGGTCAGAGATGGGGTGGCTGCAAGGGCCAGTGCGTGGCCATGTCCAGCTGCCTTCTCAGAGGCCCCGAGAAAGAGATTCTCAGCTGATTTCAAGTGGCTTTTACACCTCTCCAAATCAGCTTATGGAGACTGGCTAGGCAAAGGGCAGCACAGAATCTAGAGACTGCATTTGCAGGCATCTTCAAACAGTCACCTGCTAGGAATTGGACTGGTTTTTGCAATTTAGATGCTTTACACAGTCCAACCTCTCATTTTCAACCTTGCAGTTCTTTCTGACTTGCACGTTGCCGGTGCTATGCCTTGTTTTCTGATGCACCAGGTACTTTGTCATTGCAGGAGGAACTGTGATTCTGATCTCACAGTGATGAACCTTTTGAGGTACAAATGTCTGTCAGAGCTTGATAAGGGCAATGCAAGTAATGCTGTCCAGCTGCGTTGACTTCAGAGGCTCCGTGTATGGGAATCTGCCTGGGAGATTTACATCTC